GGAAACAGAGGGACAACTAAACACATAATTGAAAAAATAGCTAAAATTTTTCCAAACTTCAAATACCAAAACTATAAATCAGCTAGGTGTGGTGGCACATATCCGTAATCCCAGCAATCTGGGAGGCTGAGGGAGGAGGATCTCAAGTTTGAGCCCAGTCTGGGCAACTTAGCAACTTTATGAGAGCCTGTCTCAAAATTTAAAATTTTACAGAAAGATTGGGGATACAGTTCAGTGCAAAGGCTCTAGGTTCAATCCCCAGTACCACAAAAAAACAAACAAAACACCTTATATCCAAAGATGCAAGCATCTCAGTGAACCCCAAACACAAAGAAATATGAAAAAAATTACATCAAAGCTGGAGGAATCTAGGCTTCATCTAAGGATGGACTAGGGCTATGACGTGCTGATAAATGTTTAATAAAGGAGGCTGAAGACCCATCCAGTCTGATTCCAAGTTATAGCACTCCACGTCACTCAGTGTGAAGCTGGGAGAAGTGTACCTAGTGCTCTGTCAAGTTGCTGTACTGACACAAAAGTCCTTAGTGTCAGATGCAGATAAAACTGGAGCAGAGCAATAAGGAAAAGGAAGAACTGTGCGTGTCTGTCTAGTGTCCCATAGAATACCTTCTCATTTTACAGGTACCTTATGCCTCAGACTCCTCACACAAATGCACAGATTTTTTTTTTTTAGACAGGGTCTTACTAAATTATGTAATTCAGGCTGGCCTTGAACTCACTATGTCGCCCAGGCTAGCCTCAAACTTATTGCAATGTTCGTGCCACAACCTCCCAAGTGCTGGGGGTACAGGCTTCACCACTACGCACAGCTATGCACAGGTTTTTGTAATCAAGTTTGTCTTTAACATTCTGTATTATCCGCGTTCCTGTTGCCAGGCCACAGCACCCTGCACCCACACTTTAAAGACATGGTCTTCAGGGCTGGGGATTTAGCTCAGCGGCAAAGTGCCTGCCTGGCAAGCGCAAGGTCGTGAGTTTGGTTCCTGGTACGGGAGAAAAACCAAAAAAAAAAAAAAAAAAAAAAAGACATGGTCTTCATGTGGCTCATGGTTTCAAGAGATTTCTGTCCACGGTCAGGTGGCGTCTAGGCAGAAACAGCACAGCAGAAGGGTGTGGTGCAGCAGAATGGCTCAGTTTATGGCCACCCAGAAGCAGAGCAAGGAGCTGCACCAGACAGGAAAGGGCCAGGGCCCCCGATTGATCTCAGGGCCACCCCTTCATGACGCACCCACCCGGACACACCCAGAAGAGTGCTCCACCAATCGCCCCCATCCCAAAGCCAATCAAGCTGACGTTCTCCCCCTAACTGCCCACCGTCCTTAAGACTCCAGTAATTCAGCCCGGATGCTCTAGAAAGATCACACAGGCAGCTCCACCAGTGAGCGGATGCCAGCTCCTGGCTCGGATCTCCAAACCAACCAACTTTGCATCCAAGCAGCTTACCCAAATTCTCCCTTTTAGCCTTTAAAAATTTTCCCGCAGGATGGGGATGTAACTAAGTGGTCTAGAGGGTGCTAGGCGCTGGATTCAACCCTCAGCACTCCAAAGTATTTTTTAAAAAACATATATTAAAATTCCTCCTTGCGGGGCTGGGGATTTAGCTCAGCGGCAAAAGCGCCTGCCTGGCAAGCGCAAGGTCGTGAGTTCGGTTCCCGGTACCGGAGAAAAACCAAAAAA